CAGCCCCGGCACGGGCAGGGCTGCGGCCCGAACCGTCCCGCCCCCGCCGTGCACCGGGGCTAACGGCAACGCCAGGGGAAGGCCGGCAGCGCTTAATGACGTGGCTTTGCCCCTGTTAAATAACGTTAATTGGTCACAGCCGTGGGGCTGCAGGTGAAAAATCCACGCCACGCAAACCAGCTTAGTGTCACACCTCCTCGTTGTACGGATCCCTTCCAAAGACCATCCCAGCCAGCCAAAAATAAGTTTTTTAAGAGAGGCGCTCGCGCTAGAAAAATAAAACGTTAAATATAAAACAATGTACCCAGTGAGGCTGCTGAACGAAGAAAAAAAATCTTCGTTTCAAGGAGTTTCTGTGCTACTTAGTTTAAGTTCGCATTGTAACTGGATGGCGATGCTTTAGACCATTTCACACGCCGTGAGGTCTCGGCCCAGGCTGGAGCACGTCGCTCGAGGCTGTGCTCCGCACGGGAACCCCACGGAACGGGTCACGCTGCTCTGCAAGCGCAGCACCCCGCTGGAGCCGTACGCCGATCAGTCACGCCTTCGACAGCTCCAAGACAAGAAAACCACATACCTTGTACTTTACTGAGTACGTTCTGTTTTAATCTGCTAGTAGGCGGGGGGAATTCGAGTGGCATACAAGCCTTGAACTTTTATCAAAGCCCAGTGCTGATCATCACTAATTCCTGCCTATTTTTTCCCCAGGAGAAAGTCATTAACATGCATTGATGGTGTGTGTTCTATGTTTGATGTAAAAGCAACCCAGCTTCAACGTAAAGCTGAAAAACACTCACGTTATTGATCAGGGAGACACATCCCCAGTTGGCACATTCAGCTTTCGAGATACGCACTGGTACAATCATTTCAGCTCCTTGCAATCCGCTCGGTGTCAGACGCGGGAGGTGTCAGACACAGGACAGCCAAGAGCAGCAGGATCCCCAGCGCGGGTGCCGCAGCCCCTCCGTGCCTGCCCAGCCCGAGCGCTCTGTGCTGCACAAGTCTGCTCCCAGCACGGTTGATTGTAAAAACATCCTCTAACTTTTGCCTCATCTCAGTGTTTGCTGAAAACAGCTATTAAATATTGAGCTATTAAATATTTGATGTCTCAGCTACACCACATTCTTTACAGGAGATTGCTGAAAGCACACAAGCTCCTAAAAATATAATCTTCTCTAAATGCTTGGACTGTCCTGTCCCATAGCAGAGAGCAACTCGGAAAAAGAGCCCTCGCAGTTTTGCTAACCAAACATTTTCTTCAAAGATGCAAATCACTCCCACGCTTTCATATTACATGCAAATATGCCAAGAATGAGTTGGACAGTTCTGCAGACTGAAATGGATGACAATGGTTATGCAGACAGAACAAATTCTTTTAATACAACTGGAATTGTGCACCTGCATTACGCACGGGTCATCAAAAGCAAAATCCTTTTAATAAACTAAAGGGCCTGGGATATGTCTTCAACACCACATCCCTTTATGCTAAGAAGGGAACTGAGCATTACTAACTACTGATGCAACAACTCCAATAACGTAAGTAATTGTGTCCACACAAATGCCCCAGTAGCAATAGAAAAGCAGAAATATGTTCGGCAGCATTAAAATAATTACTGTAAGAAGTAGCCTTTTAACAGCATCTGTTTCCCTCAGTGGAGGATCAACATTTTATTAAATTCAACCTATTTTGTCCTAGTAAAGTCACTTAATGTTGCAGTCTCCCCAGTTAGAGATATCACTGCAGTCTTTTCTGATACCACCTTTTTTGTTTTTTTTATTAAACACACACATACTTGTTTTGAAACAAGAATTCAAGATGCAGATAATAATACATCTCTTGAGGGGTATGACATGAAAAAGAGAGACTACCTAAGGACTAAGGAGAGAAAAAAAAAAAAAAAAAAAAAACAAAACCCAACAAAACTGACAGATTCTGTGCAAGACAGGTAGAGAGGGAGCAAAGAAAACTGACATCTCTTTCTGCCAGGCAGAAAAACCACACACAGAGTAAGGCTCAGGTTCTCCGTACGTAAACCAGCATCTAAGTTTTATTGTTGTTTTACGATTCAATAGGGGGGAAAAACAAACAAACAAAACACCAAAAAACCCAGACCAGGTATGAAAGCATCACCCCAGTGTGCACCTAGATCAAACCGTCTGCAATCTGAAGTAACAGCAGATTTCCTCTACACACTGGTTTAATACAAAATCCTAGGGACATAGGTCTATGGTATTTTATCATGTGGAAGATCGTAATATGAAAAAGAAAAGGTAGCTCCATTTCCACCTTTATCTGTCGGGACGGGTCATTCCCGGCCTGGTTGGCACCATCATGGGTCTGGAGGGCGGTCTCATCATCGGGGGCCCCGGCATCATCGGCATGTGTCCTCCCATCGGTGGCCTCATCCCTGGAGCTACGAGGGGAAAGAGAGGACGTTGGAGAAGAGCTCTCGGCAGTAGCAACTGCCGAGTCACATCAATACAGCGAGCAGGTTCTCTCCCCCGCCCTCCAGGGAACTTTCATTTTACAAGTCTGTAAGCTTTGATCTGGAAGCTGGCTGAGATGGATTGCATTTCCCTGAAGGATATCAGCAATCAGAAGAGGAAGAATCAAGTTCCTGGGTTATATGCCCACTTTTGACAATATTCACTGATAAATTATTTTCAAACACTCAGACGCTAGCTTAATTACTGAATTGGAAAGTTCATTTGGAAAAAAGTGTGAAATCCTCCAGTTAAGCATGTTTGAAAAAAGACTGGTGTACTTCTTACAGCTGGGTAACAGCATTACCAAAGAAAAGCAGGTGCTCTACTAAAAAGCACTGAAATAATGGTTTCCATCCAATTTCTCCATTTATTTTCAAGCAGCCACTGTGCTGCCTAATATCGCAGATTATGCACGTATTTTGTGCCTTTAAAAAACACTTAAAGAACAGCTTCTACCAGCAAGACAATAATTGCAAAGAGACTTCACTACTTTTAGCATGCACGTGTGTATTCCTTTAGATTTGTTCCAGTAGCTGCTTCAATAAGACGTCCCCTGAGAATTCTTCAAATGCCAGTAAGCTCAAAAGCGGAATGGATCAAGACATTTTAGTTTGCCTTTACAGTTCTCTAAAAAACATTTTAAGGCATGTCATTTCTCTGGAACACATTATCTTGAGACATTTTAAACAACAAAATTCATTTAGTGCTGAAATGTACCCCTTCTGCAAAAATGGAAGCACTACAAACATAGAATTCCTAAACAATTAAAGACTGCATTGCCAAGACTAGAGGTAGAAAAGCTACAATTTACCAGAGCGATAATTTCAGTTGTACGAGTAAGTACTCTCAACAAGTAGTAAAGGAACTCAGCAGTTTTAAGACTGGTTTATGTCTCACCACACAGAGATAACGGATCAGCAAACGTGCGTACACAGAATATGCAAACTGAAATGCTTCCACAGCTTGACACTTGGGGCTGTCCATCCACGCTGCGTCTAACACGATGCCTGAAGTGACGCAAGCTATAAACTGGAGTGCATTGCTACAGCCAGCACCCAAGCACTGCAGCTGCTTCACATTTTCCGCTGAGTTCCTTTCACAGCTCTCTACTGCCCAGTGAGACAGAAGATGTAACCCAAACACCCTGCAAACCAGACCACGCGGTAGCTCCGTTACAGAGATTTACCCGTCTCCAGACTTACCGGGTCCAACCGGCATCATTCCTGGTGGGGGTGGGCCCATCATTGGCATCATTGGCGGTCCACCCATATGAGGGGCCGGCATCATGCCAGGCCGCGGGGGGCCAGCTGGACACAGACAGACTGGTTACGCATCTGGCTGCTTTCACATTCAGCAACAACATGCACTGCGAAGTGGTTATTAAACTTTACAGGACATTTTAGTAATTAAGGTGTCTTAGATTGCTTTACAACCACCTGCCTTCATCTGCAGTTTCAACTCTGACTTCGGGTGCAAAAAGAATATGCTAGCTCTCATTTCCAACTTTGCATACCTAATGCAGATGTCCCACTTCCAACAGTGGGACTCTAAGCAGAAAGGGATCTCAGCTGTTTGCCAGCTAAAGCGCAAAAGGTGGTTATCAACCCTATTCTATTTTTAAAAACAACAACAACAACAAAAAAAAAAACACCCCATGCTGCAATTTTTAATGAAGCTATCCACATGGCAGCTAGCAAGTAATGAGGAGGCACACATTTCTATCAACGTACTCAATATTACTAAAATAAGGCAAACTAAAAGTTAAAATGGTTGCTAAAACACTCTTACAAAGCATTCTCTGGCATTTTGGTATTCACGAGCTCAAAATGTCTTAGCTTGATTTCAAGCTAAAAGGACTTTTCTTCACAAGTCCCCGAAACACGCAACATAGCTAAAGAAGGCTGCTGTCCCAGTCACAAACTGTCCAGGTCAGACTTACGGATGCTGGGAGGAGGTGGTATCATGGCTCCTGCGGGAGGTGGTGCCGAGAACGGTGTAGGTGGGATTTTCCCTTGCTGAAATGCAGCCGCTACATTGGGGGGGAAAAGAAAAAAAAAAAAAGGAAAGAAAGAATCCCAGGAGAAAAACCAGTTACTAGGCTGAGGAAGCTCCTGCGTCAATCTTCCTTCTCATGCCACGCGGTCAGAGCATACTTCACGTCATGCTGCGCACTCAGTTGTTCTAACTCTGGAACAAATCCCTGGTTTATGCTGCTTGTCATGGCGGAAGCACCTGCTATTCTTGAAGACAATTATTACAGTAATTACTCCAGCTGAGACTAGAGAGCTCCTTGATGAATTTCACACACCTAACAAGAAGGCGGATGGTAGAGAAAATACATCACATGATTTGCAGCTGCAACTTTCACCTGGGATCATTAGGTAAAGACATGCTATCTTGAAAATGGTAATAAGGCAATGACTTAGGTAGGTGACAAAAAGCATGAAAAACATGTGAAAGGGAAGAGAAGAAATTCAAAAGACTGGAATTGACCAGAAGGCAGGCAAAAGATGTGAAAATTGGAAGCATCACGAGGAAAAGGGACACAAGAGAATGGAACAAAGCTGTGTCAGGGGAAGTCCAGACTGCACATTAGGAAAAGGCTGAATGAGAGGGTGCTCGGTCCCTGGAACAGGCTCCCCAGGGAAGTGGTCATGGCACCAAGCCTGTCAGAGTTCAAGGAGCATCTGGACGACACTCTTGGGCACATGGTTTAGTTTTAGGTAGTCCTGCAAGGAGCAGGGAGTTGGACTCGATGATCCTTATGGATCCCTTCCAACTTGAGATATTCTATGATCTAAAGCAAGTTGCCATAAAGTTAATCTGGCATTTGTATTTCTTTCCTCAGAGAAAAGAACCATTATTCAGAGGACAAGCACCCTATAAACTGACAGAGGAAACACTTCACACTTTATTTAAGCTTTAACAGCATGAGAGGGGAAAAAAAAAACCCATCAATATCCCTAGAGAACTCAGGGGAAGCAACTACAGCATTTAAAAAAAGAAGTAATAATCCATACTTTCACGTCCATTTCCCCATCTTTTGGATTTCTTATTCATGCTCTTTACATAAATGTGCTACAGCCAAAAAGCAAAGGTATGTTACGTGACCTTGTATGATGTTACTAGCAGTGCTAACGGTGGTGGTATCTACAACCTTCTCAGCCACAGTAAAGCAGTAAATGCCAGCTTGCACCGGCCCCTGGGGCAGAGCCCTCGGTCCCGTACGTGGAAGCCCACGCTCTGACGAGTTCCAAGATTCAGATTCTAAGGGAAGCTTTCGCTCATGATTCACAGCGCAAAGACTCATCAGGGAAGCGAGGAAGAATCAACGTGGAAGAACAGAGGAAAAGCAGCTAGAGGAAAGACAGGGGAAGTAACGGGAGAGCAATCCAGGGTCACAGAAGGATTAGCCTTACTTGTTTTGTCAATCAGGCTCTGAGCTTGTTCCTCCATCCATTTTTGATAGTAGTCTTTCACATTCTCTTTGTGTTTTCGGCCACTGCAGTGGGTTTTTCTCACGGAGGGCTGAGAAAGAGCACGTAAACCCAAAGCTTACTCAATATCACATAAACCCAAATTTTACTAGGAACTGTTGTATAATTTTAAAGAGATGCAATTTAGCAGTGTAAAACAGGTCGGTTTCCATGCCCACTCAGAGGACAGGTGGTGTGCTTTACGTATAAACCGTAAGCGTTGAAACTCCACTTGAAGTGGAAGAGGTTGCCCTAATGCCCAGCCAGCCGTCTCCTAACTCACCACAACACTCGCGGGCAGCCACGAGCGTCGGCCACCCTTGGCTGCTGAGCGCTAGCGGCACTCAAAACCCTCCCGTTCTTGTTTCTCTTTTGCAAAGAAGTAGGAGAGGAAAGAAGCCAAACAAGTGGGACACCGCAATATTTCAAGTAACCTGGCTTTAGCCTGCGTAAGTTTTATTTTAACACGCTGGATAGAGACGAGGAGTCGCTGCAGGAGATCCAGTACTTACGGAGTCGTGGGTGAGGTACGTGTCACAGTAATCGCAATAAAACCTGAAGAGGGAAAACCCCGGTCACTGAGGAGCCGCTCCGCGCCGCGCGCTGAGGCACGGCCCCGCGGGACGAGGCGCCGGGCGAAACCGGCCCCGGCGCTCGGCCTACCCGCGCCCAGCGCGGCCCGCGCCCTCCC